TAGAGTTGGGTCATGATAGTGGGGTGGGGGAAGGGGAGGGAAGCATTAAAGAACTAGAGAAATGTATGTTTCATTGGTGCTATACTGCACCCTGGCTGACTTGTCCCTTCTTTTTGACCTTCTATGAGGGGATGATCTTTTGTCTACAGATGGGCTTTGGTTCTCCACTCCAACCCTTCTCATTCACAGCCACATGATTATTTGTTTTGGGTCTTCTGATGCCTGAAACCTGACCCTCATGATCAGGTATCATACATACCTCATGATCACACAGGCCGGTGTGCTTCTTGTATGTGGGCTTTATTCTTTCCCAGCTAGATGGCCACTTGTTTATCTTCAAGCCCTTTAAGACCTCAGACACTATATCTTTTAATAGCCAGCCACCATCGCTTTCTTCACCACATTTGCTTACGTACCCATTTTGTCTTCAGCAGTCATGTCGGGAAGGCGAACACAGAATGCCAAATTATTAAAACAAAGTGTTCTTGCACTGAGGGAGTATTTGAGTAGAGGCCCAATGCAGGAAGAAGTTTTAAGAAAATTTAAAATGGTATTAGTAAGAAAGGGGCCAGGAAAATTGTGCTATCCTGTAAGAATTTTTTTGAGAAACATCACCCCATCCACCGTACAACTCTGATCTTGCTCCTTCAGGCTTCTTTTGTTCCCCAATCGAAAGACAATATGATTTGAATCCCTCTGCACATGAGGAAAATAATTAAATGTCTACCAATATTTTTCCTACTGCTTATATGTGGTACCAGATTAATTAAATAATACTGTATATACTCGAGTATATGCCGAGGCATCTAATTTTAAAATTAGACAATGACAGTCTAGCTTCTGACTAATTTTAAAATTAGGTGCCTCGGCTTATATTTGAGTATATATGTTAATTAAGTGAATTAAGACTTGCTTTTATGCATCTTCCTTTTGGAGTTTTGAACTATCTTTCCTTGAAGGAGCCATGGTGGTATAGTGGGTTTCAAGTTGAGTACTCACATGGATTTTAGACAATAATTCAAAATCAGATTTTTAGTTCTTATCTAATATTCATGTTAGTCAAATTATTGAACAAAGTTTAAGCTTCTCTCATCTATAGACTTAGAAATTACTTGATAATCTTAAATCCACACACACCTAAGGCTCTATTATATACATACTGTAATGCCAAAGTCCCTCGTGATGCTGTTAGGTGAGCATCGTATGGGGCTAACTGCAAGGTCATTGATTCAAACCCTCCAGCCACTTCACTGGAAGAAGAAGATGCTGTCTACTCCCATAATGATTTACAATCTTGATGTGCCACTAAAACTGTGTGGAGGCAGGGTGGGGTGTGGGGTTCCAGTGGGGGGTGGTTTTACAATCTTGGAAACCCGGTGTAGGGGTGACTTAATAGCGGTGAATTTGGCTATAATGCCAAATGGCATGGGGGATATAGCAAGGAACTCAGCAGACAAGGTACTACAGTACTTCAGAGCCCTGTGTGACTGTGTAATTGGGAACATGGCCTTGGTGCCAGACAATTATAGTAATAACCACAGCTGAGGAGATTGAATTAGGGCTAGTTCTCAAGAGAAAATTACATCTTTGCTGAAACCTTAAGAATGAAGAGCCTGGTAGGCCCAGACTAAGTAACCTAGAAAAAATGTATGCTCTAACAGCTGAAAAAGAAAACATTTATAGGCCAGAGGCAAATTAAAAGAGCATAGCTCATCACAAGAATTGAATTTACTGCCTTGGAGGAAGGAAGGCAGGTGTGTTAGTCCAGGTAGACAAGAGAAACAAATTCATAGACACTCGTGTATATAGAAAAGAGCTTTATATACAAGAACAGTTGAATATTGATAAAACAGCCCAGTTCAGATCAAGTCCAAAGGTCTGATATTAGCCCATATGTTTGATACCAATGTATAAAGCCCTCTTCAGGCTCACAAAACACATGCAATGACAAATGCAGGAAGATCGCAAGCCAGTGTGTGCAAAGTCATGTAGATCCAGTGGCGGTCGAAGTATCTCAGCTCTGGCAGGGGTCTCCCACGTGGCTTCTCCAGTTCCCAGGACACGGGCTCTATCAGTATAGTGCCATGTGTCTTGTCTGTAGAGTGTCTCTCGGAGTGAGTCCAGAGAGAGCGTGTCTCCCGCCTCCAGGGAGGAAAGTACCGGAATGTCCAGAATCCTCACAGGAAGGCTATGCCCACACAAAGGATTCATTGGCTATACGGTGATTGACAAGCTGGACTCCATCCCTTCACTCATAATCCTCCGAAATTGACAGTAGATTATATAACTACCACAGCAGGCATGAGAAGAAACTGACTAGTAAGGTCAACCAAAACCAGCTCATAGTCTGAGGCAATGGGTGATGAGCCAAAAAGTAAAAATTTCAGATTGACTGATGGAAAAAACTACTCTTAATTTCTGCCATGAGGAGAATGGGCTGTGACTGAGGACTGGGAGCCTTTTTCTGTAAAACAAATGAGAGATAAAGATGGCCTAAATTAGGATAAAAGCAGTAAGAATAAACTGACAAATTAGATATCTGGGATAGAATTGAAGTATATGGTGACTGATTTAGGGAGAAAGAAAGGTAAAGCTCAGATTTTTACCTTAGGCACATTGCTATGGATGTGGTCACGGAGTCGTTTGGGAGGACAGGTACAAGTTACAAATTTAGTTTTGGACATGATGCATATTAGGCACTCGAACAAAGAGGTCTTACGTATTACTAGGTATAAAGATCTAGCACTTAGGGGAGAGATGGAATGACTGTAACATTGGAAGTTAAATCATCAAATCTCAGAAATGAGTAATAATACTATCAGGAGAGCAAGTATAGAACTCTGGAGAACGCCATCTTTTAAGAGATGGGCAAAGAAATGGAGGCTCCTACCTAGAGAAGGAGGTAGGAAATGGAGGCTCCAGAGGAAGAGAAATCTTTCAGGATAATCATTGGTGTAAGCCATTTGCTAAGAGAGCAAGTAAGATTATAGCATGCCCAGTAGTTTAGCTACAAATATGAAATAAAGAGGTTTGAGTCCTTTTCAACCTAGGAAAGTTTCTTCCAATTACATTAGTTCTCTCTCAGACTTGGCCTCAAAGAAAATATACCTGTTACTTGGCAGAGACTCCAAAATGACTGCATGAGGACTAGGAAAGTAACTGCACTAAATCAGTACTACTGTGAATATGGTTGTGATCAGTCGAGTTTAAAACTTGTCAAAGAGATTTGAATTTAGAGTACATTTTATATATTTATATTTTTCAGGTTACAGGTTCCAAAGAGACTGCTGTCCATTAAGTGTCTTTGAAATGGTTTGACTTTATAAAGGGCATCATGTAGAAGGGAGACCTCAGGAAAGTTGTAACTGACCTTTTTTCTCATGATCCATGTAGTCAATAAATGGATATATTTACTTTATAGTAATCCACTGAGGTGTACACCTTCTGTATCCATGTTTGTTTGAATAAAAATTTGGTGTAGTTTTAAGTGAAGTGTAGGGGAGTCTTCATCATTCTAGAAGATTTGTAATAACTGCATTAGAGCCAAGATTTGGCATGTCTGTGCCAAGTGACACAACACTATATCACAGTCCTTCTACCCTTCCAGTTTGGTCCTAGGTTACAGTGGTGGTGGGATACATATTGTTTTAGATGATTTTTTATGAACTACTGATAATGGGGTTATGAATCTAACTGTAAAACTTTCAAATATATTAGCAACTCTTCATGCATCTTGTTTTGTGTATTTTTTAATTTAGGAAACCCTGAACCCAAACCTACTCTATCAGCATCCACTTCTACCTTAATATGACGCTGTTTGCCTATTTCTTGGTTTGTCACTGGAAGCATGCCTTGCTTCATTTCATCTGGCCATTGTTCTTTATACTTTCTGAAACAATAAGGTTCCGTGCATTTTCCCTGACTCCACTGGAGACTTACTGATTGATGATGCCTGAGTATTTTCATATTAACAGGTTCTCTAGACAGTTCTTGTGGTGATTTTGAACTGCTACTTTATGTCATGTGACAGCCTTTCAAGTGGCAACTCAACTTTTCTTTCTCCACAAGACAATTATTCTTGCTTCAGGAGGGCCCCTATGAACTCTGTACTTCTTAGTGGCTATAGATTTGCATTGTTGTACTTTATCTTAGTCTCCAACTAGATAGTAGCCTTTCTAGAGTGGTAGTCAACAAAGTCAGGTTTCGTGGATCATAAACATGCATTGGGCTGTGATTGATCTGCAGGGTCAGGAGTTCAAAACCACCAACTTCCCTGAGTGAGAAAAGCAGGGCTTTCGTTCTTCTCCTGTAAACAGTCTCAGAGTCACTAGGCGTTGGCATTGACTCATCAATGGCAGTGAATTTGGTTTTGGTGAGAAACACTTTAGGCTCTACAGATCCATGTGGTCCCCATTATAGTTACTCAACTTGGTGAACAGGCAGTCATAGTCAACACATCAATGAATACGCTTGGTTGTGTTTGCATAAACTATCTATATACACAGAAAGTTGAACGTCATATTTGTATTTGTCAGGAAATGTTAATGTTTTGTTCCTATTCCCAACCATTTAAAAATTAAACTAAACTCATAGGCCCTATCAGAACAGAAGACCGTAGTTTGCCAACCCTGCTGTGTATACTATAACCCAGATATATTATTGGTCAATATAGGAGTACTTAGGAAATTCACTGTTAAGAGAACATGTTACTCATGATAACATTTGTGGTAATACTGCCTTACCATACTGATAAGTTCATAAATGTGCTCAATAAATTTTTTTTAAAATCAATTTATTGGGGCTCATAAAATTCATCACAATACATAGATCAATTGTGTAGAGCACATCTATACATTTGTTGCCCTCATCATTCCCAAAATTCGCTTGCCGCTCGATAAATATTTAAGTCAATTTTCAACTTTCTGTTAGAGTTAATGCCAGGATTATCATTGTTTTCTTAAATGTTTTGTTTTTTTGTTCTTTCCTGTGTGTTTGAATAGGAAGGCCCAAATAGTCTGATTAATGAAGAAGAGTTCTTTGATGCTGTTGAAGCTGCTCTTGACAGACAAGATAAAATTGAAGAACAGGTATGTAAGCTAGAATTCATTTTAACATCATAGGCATTTTTATGTGTTAATTTAAATTAAACAATTTGAAAATTGTAAGCCAAATATCCTAGGAAATTAACCTGCGTCTGCATTGAGGAGTATTAAGCAAATTTGTACATAGGTTGCCATCAGCATTTCCAAAACAATATATTTCTACTTGAGCTCCTCTTTTGCCCCCCACCCTCCCACCCTCATGAATCTTTGATCAATTATATATTATTGTTATTTCGTGTCTTATACTGCCCATTGTTTCCCTTCAACCACATTTCTGTTATTCATCCCCTTGGGGGTGGGCGTTATATATATCCAACCTTGGAATGGTTCCCCCTTTCTCCCTCTTCCCTTCCCCCTTTCTCCCTCTTCCCTTCCCCCTTCCCTTCTCCCCCACCCCTTCTCCCCCCCTAGCATCATTCCTCTTCCAGTGTCTAAGGACTATTAATGTCAAGCATACTTAATGACAAAACAGTCACTGAATTTCTTTCTACAAAAGATGACTAAGAATTTTAAATTTTCCCATCCACCTCCTTCCCAAATTATATACACATTTTTCTTTGTTTTAATACCTTAATTCATACTCAGAAAGGAATAAAAGGATATAAAGCAAAATGCTTACCCTAACCGATTTTTAGAAGACCTAGTGTCATAGTGGTTACACTTTGGGCTGCTAACAGCAAAGTCAGCACTTTGATACCACAGTCACTCCGAGGGAGAACGATGGGGCTTTCTACTTCTATAGAGTTACACCCTCACACCCTCGGAAACTCATGGGGCAGTTCTGCCCTGTTCTATAAGGTCATTGTGATTCGGCATCAACTTGATGGCAGTGAGTTTAAAGGGTTTTTTGGTTAACTGATTTCTCAGTGTTTGGGGGTTTTGATTTCTGTTAGTATTATTTACCTAGCTTTTATTATCTGACCCTTTTATTACCTCTACTGCCTACCTGCTCGATTTCTTTATTAACTTTGCTCTTTCTTTTAACATTATCATTGAATTTTAAGCAATTCTAGCTAGCATCATCTGTGGAAATCAAAGGGATGCATTTCTTAAATCCTTTCATGCTGGTTTCAAGATTAATCCTTTGGCGGTTACCATATTTTACCACTAGGTGATACTTGAAGGTGAATTTTGGTGAAATAGTGGTTAGGAGTCAGGCTGCTAGCCACAAGGTAAGAGTTCGAAACCAAGAGCAGCTTCATGGAAGATAGACTTTCTACTCCTGTAAAGAATTATCAGTCTCAGAAACCCACAGGGACAGATCCGTCCTGCCCTATAGGGTCACTGTGAGGCAGAATTGACACCATGGTTGTGAGTTTGGTTTGTGTTTGGTGCTCTGACTAAGCAGTGTGTCTCCTAATAGAAATGTAACTTTCCTCAAATTGAGTGAATAACCATAAACTATCTAGAAATAAATTATATCAGTTTAATACTAAAAATTGACTAAGATAGGAAAGTTGGCTTGATTATTCATTTCCTGTTCCTACTAATGTAGTTATGACTTGTATACCCATTTACCGTTATATGGTCCAACTAGCCAAGGGCAAATCACCTGGAACATTGACCTTCTGCTTTTCTTGTTTCTTTTTCTTTTTATAATCCACACATGGCGTGATTTTATAAACTTTACTGATCACTTTTTATGCCCAAAAGATATTGGCTAAATTGTGTAACCATTACAGTATATGAGCTTTCCGTTTCTAAATGAGCTCTACTTTTAGAACACTAAAGGATTACTTGGAAGTAGCATCATTTTGCTTGTTTCCTCCACACACACTTTCCCTCCTTTTTAGGATGTGCTGTGTTGGGACAAGTAATGGACTACTAGGTCAGGACACCTTGGATCTTATTCTTCGTTTTGCCGGGGACCTAGCTATGTAGCTACGGACTTGCCACTTAAATTGTTTGGGCCCTGATTTTCTCATTTGTCAAACAAAGGCATTAGACAAGATGATCCAGAACATCTTTTCTAGCTATAAAATGTCACTATTGACCATCAGTGCAATAGAGCTTAGAGAGAGGATCACTGAAAACCTCTCGGCTTTCTCTCACCGCTATTAGAATCAACTCCAACTCATCATTGGCCCTATAAGACAGGAGGGTAAAACTGAACCTGTGGGTTTCCGAGACACTAACTCTTCACACAAGATAGAAAGCCTAATCTTTCTCCCGCAAAGCGAGCTAGTAGATTGAATTTAATGATTTGCAGTTAGCAGGACAACATATAACCACTAGCCACCAGGGAGGGTTCCTCTCAAGCCGTTAGAAAATGAAATATTAACCCAGAACAAAAAACTCATATTGATGTGAATGAGAGGGAGGGCGGTGTGGAGACCCAAAGCCCATCTGTAGACATTTGGACATCCTCCCACAAGAAGGGTCACAAAGAAGAGACGAGCCAGTCAGGGTGCAGTATAGCACCAATGAAACATACAACTTCCTTTAGTTCTTTAAAGCTTCCTTCCCCACACTATCATGACCCCCAATTCTATCTTACAAACCCAGCTAAACCAGAGCATGTACACTGGTACAGATAAGAGCTCGCAACATAGGGAATCCAGGACAGATAAACCCCTCAGGACCAATAATGAGAGTAGTGATACCAGGAGGGTAGGAGAAAGGGGGAACCCATCACAATGGTCAACATATAACCCCTCCCCTTCCCCTCCCCCTCCCCGAGGGTGATGAACAACAGAAAAGTGGGTAAAGGGAGAACAGCAATCGATGTAAGACATGGGGGTGTGGGGAATACTGTATATAAATTGTTAAGGGCTCATGAGGGGGAGAGGGGGGTGGAGGAATGAGGAACTGATACCAAGGGCTCAAGTAGAAAGAAAATGTTTTGAAATGATGATGGCAGCATATGTACAAATGTGCTTGCCACATGGATGGATGTATGGATTGTGAAAGAAAGAGCCCCCAATAACATGATGAAGAAAAGAAAATTAAATATTCGTGGAGCTATCAAATAATTTCATTTCAGTCATTGTTAATCACTCTTTGTTACGAATCATAAAATAAATCATTAAACAGCACAAATTTTCTTGCCTGATAGGTGTGTAGGTAGATTCACAATGATAATTACATTGTGGAAACTCTAAATTACTAATCTTTAGCAATTCGTGAAATCAGGTTTATAGGTTCAGGTAATTTATTATATGTAGTACATATTGAATAGGATTGTCAGCAATTTAGCCAGTACGTAGGTATTGTCCATTGACACTCATAATACCCATTTCTGGGTCTATACTATTTGCAAGCAAAAATGTGCATTCAAAGTGGAGTTTCACACCGTGTGTTCCGACACGGTTGGCTAGACGCTCTCTTGTGTAGTGTTAGAAAGGAGCACCCACACTACACAGCACAGCTTCTGGCACATCATATTAGTAGGGTGAAGAGGTTAACTGTCAGCTTAACAGGAGCGAGATGATTGGATGGAGGCAAAATACCTGCATGAAATAAAAGCAAAGAGTTACACATGATGTGTTCTTAGAAACTTAAAGTAGTGATATTGGTTCATTGACCGGACCTACATGGCCTGATGAATTAGAATGGTTGGTATGATTTGACTTGAGTTTAAATCAGAAAAAATTACTTTGGCAGCAGTGCTAAAATTGACTTACGGTAAATAATACTACATAGGTACTAGAAAGTCTGAATCTAATTCCTGATCTAAGGTAGTATCTGTGGAGTCTGAAAGAAGATACTGGATTGGGAATTGCGAAGTATTAGGATTTGGAAAGACTGTGTCTCTGGAGTAGTATTATAATTGAAATATTTATAAAATTTTAAGTATCTAGTAATGAAATGTTGGAAGTTATGTTACTTGGTTGCAAAATACACTTAAAATGTTCTCATTTAACATTTTGTGTTTTCTTAATCACAGAGTGAAAAGGTTAGGTTACATCGGCCTACAGTCTTGCCATCTGGAGATGCCTTTTCTTCTGTGGGGACACACAGATTTGTCCAAAAGGTAAGCTAATGTCCATTTATGCAAAGTGTGTGTTGTATTGTTCTTTATTGTTGCTAGAACTAGCTTGTAGTATAAATTATCCTCCCCCCCCTTTTCTTGAATTAAAATAATGAGATTTTTATATTCATAATTTTTTTTAAAAAGCCTCCCATTGCCATTGAATCAAGTCAATTTCCATGCATACTACAGAGTAGAAGAGCCGCACTGAGTTTCCAAGGCTGTCGTCTTTAGAGAAGCAGACTGCCACACCTTTGTCCCCGCAGAATGGCTGGGAGTTCAAAGTGCAGACCGTATGGTTCCCAGCCAAGCCTAAACTGCTACCAGGGCTCCTTGTATCCCATATACAAGGGGACTTCGTGGAAAAATTCCATTATCTTTTTATTGCATTTTTCCATAAATTTTTTGAAGCCCCTTCGTACAGCCTTTGAATTGGCAATTGTGTGCTGAACATAACACAGCTGCTTTTTTATAGAAGTTGGGTGAGTGAACCCAGGCTGGGGGAAGATCCTCTAGTCTAGAATCGTTAAACAGTGTTGCTGGGTACATTAAGTCTTTGTTCTTTGGGGTTAAGTGGGAATATTCTGTGTTGCTGGAAGCGCTGCATTCTTTTTAGAGTGATTTTGGAGCATAATACATAATAGGTGCATTAAGTCAGCACTTGCTGCTGTGCTTGTTTCATATGGCGCTTTGTTTTCTCTCTATCTTGTGTTTGGAAGTTGGTACTGAATGCTCTGTTGTGCCTTTGTTCTGATTACTTGGTTTTTTCTTTGTCTGTCTCTGGTAGCCCTATAGTCGCTCTTCCTCCATGTCTTCCATTGATCTTGTCAGTGCCTCTGATGATGTTCACAGATTCAGCTCCCAGGTACTGTATGAACGTAAAGAGTGAACTTGAGTCTTTCTGTGCTATATTTCAACCTGCTTTCCCAGTTCCTAGAAATCTTTTGGTTAGGCCACTTGTTATGGTTTTAAAATTTAAACAGCAGCAGTAAACAACAAAAGGCCTTATCTACTCAATTGTTCTGCTACCAGGCTTGCATGTGCTCTTTACTTTGTATCCTCTGCTGTGAATTGCTTGGTGTTTTGCCATCTATTAAGTACTCTTAGATTTTCAAATTGAATCAAAACAAATAGAAGGTACCTGAGTTTTATGCCTTAGATTATCTGTTCAGATAGACTTTACCAACTTAGATGGACCTGGGCTACAGGATATGTTGTAATGTAAAAGCAAATTTCAATAACCTCACTCTTAATCTAATTAAAAATACTTCAGCAGGGAAATTACTACCTAAATATTCATGTCTTTATTTTAATATTAATAAACACCATTGAACGAGTTATATTTCCTTACATAAATTGCCTCTAGCTATTATAAATTAATATTCCTATACTTAGCCTGTGAAACTGTAGTTTACATTTGTTTAGCATAACCAGGCTTTTAGGAATTTGAGGCAGGAAGCTGAATATCTCTGCCCTCAAAATAAAATAAAACCACCATTGGATAAAGAATTTTTGGTATCTTCCATGGTTGATTTTTTTTAATTTCATATCTTTGGCATTCAGCTTTTCCTCTTCGTTTTATTGAATCGTGATTAAGAACCCTAGTCCTTTAGTCAAAATAACTTGCTATTTTTCTAGCTTTAAATCCTAGTTAACTGTTTGATTTCTGTCAAGTTTCTAACATTTCTGTGCTTTTGTGATCTCAATAGCACTGTGAGCTAGCTAGGTCCTAGAACACAGTAAATGTTGAATAAGTGTGACCTTTTATTAGGGGTTATTGTCATTTCCTTTAGCCAACCTAAACTGGTTACATTTTCTTTTTTTCTCTGCCAGAATATAACACTATAAGTTTTTTTAAAGCATAGTTTAAGTGAGGTATCTAATACCTTACATGTGAAAGTAATATTTACATTAATTTTTGTTTGTTGAGAATATACACAGCAAAACATACAGCTCAACATTTCTATATGTACAGTTCAGTGAACCTGATTATATTCTTGGATTGTATATCCATTCTCGGTGACCTTTTCTGAGTTTTTTCTCTCCCATTACCATAACACACTCACAATTCCCCAAGGTTTCTAGCTGATATTTTGAGAGGCTGTAACTATTTGATCTCATGTGGGTAGTTTTTAATTTATATTTTGGTTGGTTATTTGTTTTTGTGGTTTGGGTGATTTTACAGAGCAAATTTGTTTTCCATTCACTAATTTGTACACGTTTTGTAGCATTTGTTACAATTCCATTTCC